TACAAGCTGGCGTGATGAAGTATTTATAAGCGCAATTCGGTGGCATGCAAGTGTAGAGCGGCGAGGACGCTATACCCAAACAGGTGTGCCGCCAGACTTGGAGCGGAAGCAGCGACTTCTCTATTACTTTTTATATTAATATTAAAAGTTAATTCCGGTCCTCGTTTTATTAAGGGCTTATTAATATTCTTTTTAAACTATATTCCTAACTACTACTTTAAAGGGCGTAAATTCTTATTTTAAATTTTTAATAATTCGTTATATACTAAACTTAATACTATCTTTAATAGCTTTTTAAAATATATATTTATAAAGAATAATATTAACTAATTTTATTAATTATTAAATAAAGAGTTTAATATATATATTAATAATATTACGTTTTTAAGCTTTAAATTATTTATATTTAATATTAATTTCTTATTATTTTTAAATATTCTTAAATATATAAATCCTCTTTATAAGTATAATATAAAAATAAATTTATTTATATAAAATAAGTAATATAATTAGTTTTATAAAAAAAAACCTAGCTTAGTCCTATAAGTTACTTATATTTAAAAAAGTTAAAAGGGTTATACTAAGAATTATATTTAAAAGCTACTAATAGAGGATTTTTTAATCTCTTTAGTTATTTTTAAATACTTTATAGCGTACTTAATAAGCTCGTAATTTTTTTTTATTATAAGTTATAATTAATTATCTAAATTTAAAAAGTAAAATAAGCGCTATAAAAGGGTTAAAGAGTATATTAAAATCTAAAATATCTAAATTAACGTATTTTTAAACCCCGACGCCCTTATTTATAATATAAAATATATTAAATTATTTAATTTAACTATTATAATTAGTTAATTTAGCTTAGGCTAAAGTAAGTACGAGTATATTTATTATTTTAAAAAAATTATAAAAATCGTATTAATAAGTACGTTATTATAATATAAGGTCTTAATTAAAAACTAGGTTTATAACTATTACGAGTTATAGTATATAATAATAGGTATATAGAATATAATAAAAATAGTTTAATATATTAAAATAAAAATAAATAAAAAAAAAGTCTATATATATAATATTTAAGATAGATATATAATTTAGTACGTAACGGGCACTTTATAAGATGCGGTTACTATCCCTATTACGTAATAGTGACTTAGGATACGCCTCCGTTACTAAGAATATTAGTTAAATGTGCAGTATTAAAAATTACGACTAGTAAGAAGATAGCCTCAACCTCCGCAGTCTGTTATAGTGTTCGACGAAGGGAGTATTAGGATATGTAGTAGTATAAGGGGCTTAAAATAAATAATTCAACCAGGAGGCGTCTAAGTATTAACTGTATAGGCAATAGGTTAAGACTCAGGTAGACTTGCTAGATAAACAAAAGTTTTTTCTCATTCTCGGGCGGGCATAGGAAGCCAGTCACATTGGTGTAAAGCGCAATCACAAACGTAACTCCAACAATGCCCCTTTTCGTTCTTTATCTTACTGTCTCGTTATAATTTCTGCGGTCTTACTCCAGTATAAGTGGCTCCTTTCCATTGCCAGCTCTGGATTTATTACGATAACTTTCACGGAATTCTTTGTGACCAATACAGATGAGAGGGTTAATAGCTCTGAGGGAATACGAAATCTCTTCTCGACAGTACTTGCAGATTGGACATCCTTGCTCAGTTGCTAACACGACACCCTTGAAAGAATTCGCCAGGTTCTGAGACGTCGGAAATCAGGCTAGCAAACCAACACGTCCCTTAGAGGTCGCAGGCGATGTTAAAGCTACCTGAAAAAGAAGACTTGAGCACTACGCCCGCCCCCATAAAGTAACCCGTGTGCTCGAGGGTTAGGACCAGAGCGCATTCTAACCTTTACTTCCTTCCTCTATCAATTATCTATGCCGTGGAACCTTCAAGCATAGTGTAGCTAACCATGCCAACACAGCACCCCTTGCCTTCCGGAGACCCATCTTTGACGACGACAGTGCTCGCATCAATATGGATAATGGCATCAACGTCCACCATCTTTCTCGTGCTCCGAATCTACTGTAGATCAGTTCGTACTAGAATGATGTGGTGGGACGATTATCTCCTCATTATAGGATGGATGTTCCTAATGATTGGGGTCTCACTCCAAACAGTCGTTTTCGGATCTGGTTACCTAGTTACCACTCTGTCAGGGCCCATCATTACCCCCGCAAACTTGGCATCCGACAATGCAATGAAGCTTTCCCTAGCTTTCAGCAAGACCTCATTCGCCCTCACCCTGCTGAGATTCACGACAGGATGGTTGCGTCCTGTGATTATCCTGATCACTTGCATGACAGACATAATGTGCCTTGTGCACACAATTTTGGTCTGGAGACCGACTTGTGGAGCTGAGAGCGCGTTCTCACTTGGTTCGTGCTGGTCAATCAACAGCGGCACCTGGATGAATATGATCGGGTCCAGTGAGTACTTCTACTGAAGCTGGGCTTGTCTTGGTCTAACGTTTTATTGGGAATAGTTGTCTCCGCGGTGACAGATTTCGGTCTAGCTCTGATTCCAATTTACTCGGTATGGGACTTACAAATGGTCAAACGGGAGAAAGCCGGCGTCGCGATTGCTATGAGTATCGGTGTGCTGTAAGTGAGATAACCACTCATTCTTTGCCTCAACAAGTCTGCCAAACTACTCGGGGCACCTACCTTATCTTCAGGGTCACTGATTACAATGGTAGGGCAGGAATCGTTGCTGTTCTCAAAGCTGTGGAAGCTCTTGAAGTCACGAGAGTTGTCGGAACTGAGTGTCAGTTTTGTTTCTATGTGTCTTAACTTGAGTCGCAAGTGAATATTGACAAAGCTATCTCTCGCAGTTTCTCGCCGGCTTGCCGTCTTGAGCATTTGGATTCACGCAGAACCCAATGCGACGATTGTTGCAGCCTCCATACCGGTACTGAGAGTACTGATACGGGATGTTGCAAAATCATTTGCATCCTACCATCCCTCTGCTGCACACTACGTAAAATCCGACGGAGTCTTTCAGAGTGCCAACCTCTCGAATGTACGAGCAACAAGTATCAACAGCGATCATGATAGCGAGACAGTGATTCTTCCTATCTTCAAGCCAGGAACGGAAGCGGATGATCGATATCGAGCCGAGGGCCAGGAAGCTGTCGAACTTCGTAAGCTTCATGCACACGTACCTTCGGGGTAGCATGGATGCCGCCTGGTCAGGCTCCAAGAGGTCAAATAGGACTACTTGTTTCACCATGGAGTATTCTGGTACTTATGTCAGGTGTATATATGTCATTAAGATGATGATTGGTACCAAGGTGTTTGGCATGCAAGCTTCTACTTGACGACAACCATCAATTACTGTATTGATGAGAACATACAGTCAAGTTAGATGACCTGAGGCTACGGAGAGAGCGAACAGAAGATTGCAAAGAAGAAGCACAACTTTGACACAAGTACGTACTTGGTACATACCCGTTCGGGAAGCTGTGAAGTCGAACAGAGAACAATCCTTCTAAAGAAACATTACACCTCCTTATACAACCCGCCAATGAGCAAAGACCGATCCTGATTCCCATAAGAAGCCTCATACATGTTGTTCTTGCGGTCGTACCAATCCATGACATTTGTCAGCCGACCTTCTCCATCGATAAACTCAACATCATCACTAGGTCTTAGGAAGTAGGTGACAGAATAGCGATCCACATCGGGCAACGGAAGGACCCGATGCACTGCCGACTTCAGTCTATCGTGCGTCAAGAACCGTAGCACATCAGCCACATTGACCACCGCGCAGCCGGGACGTGGCTCGACATACTGCCACTCCATGGGTGTTTCCGCCTTTTCTTTCAGGGGCTCATTGTTGGCGTGGCCCTGACTATGTCCTCTGTGGTAGCCACTATCGAGGCTTTCGTCTGAATCGTGAGACGCCGAGGAGGAGGCTGAGGACGGTGAGGATATTTCGGGAGTTGAAAGGACTTGCAAACCCCACTGGGGCGCAAAGACAAGTGTCAAGGTGCCATAGTCTGTGTGAACATTATGTCCGGCATAACCTCCAGTTGGATCCATGGGAATATAATGCAAGAATGCAAGGGCACTCTTGGAGGGGCAGTCGCTTCTGTGGAAGTGGTTGAGGCTCTGCGCTCCCTTCAGCCCCAGGGCGTTCGAGATACGGTCAAGGAGCACTCGAGTAATGTAGTGACACTGGCTCTGGAAAGAGATGAATGTCTGGAGGTTGTCTTCCACCACTGGCGGTAAGCCCCATCGACCGGCCAGTTCAAAGCTACCCGTCTGTACAATTGTTAGAATCGTCGTTGTCTGTGACCACATGTCCTACCGATACTTACCTTAAGAACTTCCCAGCCATCTCGACCTCCGTGCGTCCCAGCCTGTGAACCGATTGGCTTGTATCTAAGGGCAACATTTTAATTAGCTTCAGCAAGCAAATCAACGGGCACTTAGCTTAGAAGGGCGGCTTTGACAAACCCATGAGATGCCATGCTGATAGCCAGCTCTTTGCGCTTCGCGGCTGTTGGCTGGTCGAACCAGTCCTTCATGACAATGTTCAACCTGTCAAGATTCTCTAGCATTGTAGCAGAATACTGGTCCGAAATGTCCAAGTAGAAGAACCCAACATTCTCGCAGGCAGAGATAATCTTGTCAATGGTCGCTGGGTCGCGGTCTAGTACTTTGGAAAAAACCACGGTATCTAGGTTCGCAGTCGGTGCATAAGGGGCAGCAGCACCATCCATCTTTTTTGAACCAGCCACGGTCATCTTGAAGAGGTGAGAGGAATCAGATGCGATGTTGTAAACGCACTACGACTGTTGACGGTGCAGAGGAGTAGGTTTCAAGGTAGGCGGGCTCGCTGGATAAGTAGTTCATATAACTACCTTATATGATAATGAGTCGCAATCTTGGGATCGTCTTTCTTCGCGGCCGACAATTTTGCTCAACTCCGATATTACGTATAGCTACACTGGATTACGTGTCATTTCAACGCCTTGCTGATCCTATAACCGTCGCAGAGACCAATTATGTCTATGCATCTTCCAATCTACTTTGTCTTATCTGAAATCAGGCCATGATCTTGTTCGCTCGGCCTCAGCTGGATACATTTCAATGACATGACAAACATCTCGAATTTGTATATTGTCTCCCCTTCGAGCCATAAGATACATCTTCCATTCTTTTACAATGTACTCTTGATGTATTCCGATGCCTTCTCGGGCTCCTTGTCTTAGATCGTAAGTGCTAGCAACATGCGCCTCACGGCTGCGTCCGCTGACTGCCTAGATTACGGAACTTTTGGGGGAATCCCTACGCTCTATGGGCTTATCTTCAAGCCTATGATGTTCAACTTCTCGTCTGGTGAATATCGTACATGTATCACTAGGCGCCAAGGTCCAGCCGAGGCTGAAAGTCGGAACAAGGCGGCTGCGAGCGCTCGGCGAGGGGGTGGGCAGGGGCGGTGTCTCAACCGGGCTAGACTCTTATGTGGGAGCGTTGAGCTTGTATTCTCCAGTACCCACGCGGCTGTCGCACAGGAGCGCTTTCACTCCCTCAGAAGCTGTCGGCAATCGGTAGCCGATATCCGCATGTTCATCTGTCTTACAATCACGACAAACTTATGACTGGAAAAGGAAAGTGCAAATACAAAGTTTGGGAGGCGTTCGCCGCTAAGACAAAAACGCGGCGGAACGGGAAAGTAAGCGTTGCATTGCAGGGAGAGGATGGCCCGGTGAGGATGTGGGGGAAGGATCGGAATGGAGTCATAGCCACTTCTCGGCGCAATCACTTTCACATCACTGGTTACTTCCGCTTCCCTGCTCGACTCAAATATGAAAACGAAGCGAGTTGATAACCAAATTGTTATCGGGATAATCACAGAATTGCCACCATCATTATGCACGTCAGCCCCCGACTGAGAACAGGCCGGTAGCAGGCAGCTCAACTAGGCTGACTCAAGAAATGACTAGAGATTGGAATTTCCGTAACATCTAGAGCTAATTTTTATCTCGAGGTATCAAAATGTACCTGGGAGCATGGCTTATATACTAAATGCAGAGGTTGAAAACAGAAGATTATATTTGCCGCCTTCTCGTCCGTTTCATGCACCCTCTTGATCTTGACTGGCGTCAACACTTGTCCAAGCTTTTTACAATGCCGCATTCTGAAGACACAACTAGCCTCATACATCTTGGCAAGTTCGATGAGCTTGTGAAAGCTCTTAAAGACGCTCTCGGTTCTTCAGGGCTGACCTGTGATGATATCAACCTTGACTTGTTGATGGATCTCATGAAGAATTATACCAGCGATGAGAAAGAATGGGGAGCTTTTGCATTTGCCAATCCTAGCATGGCATATACCCGAAACCTCGTAGATGAGGGTAACGGCAAGAGTAACTTGGTAAGACCTGTGATCATGAAAGATGCTCGTCTGTTTCTAATTTGTGTGGATATAGTTGGTCCTCGTCTGGACACCCGGAAAGGGAAGCCCCATCCACAGTCATAGCAACGCGCACTGCTTGATGAAGATCCTCAAAGGAAGCCTGACGGAGACACGCTACGACTTTCCTCAGGACTCCAACCGGGGAACCGACTCAGCCGCCTTGAATGATACCAATGATAGCATGCATGTGGCTTTGGAATCAGTCTACACAGAGAACCATGTGGCCTACATGAGCGACGACCAAGGTGTGCACAAGATGTGGAACAACAGCAATGATTTTGCTGTTTCGCTCCATCTCTACACGCCGCCCAATATTGTCAAGAATGGCTGCTACGTCTTTGACGCAGAGACTGGGAAGGGAACTCTTGTGAAAAACTGCGAGTACTATTCCATTCATGGCCACCGAGATACAGACGCGCTGGCCAGTGTAACAAAGAAACTGGCACCATCTCTACTTTGAAATTGTAGACTAGAAGTATACGCTCAACGCTATATGTTCGGGTTGTTTTCACCAAAATATTGCCAAGCTGCAAGGTCTTCTAAAAACCAAACCTGAATTCTCAACTACCTTGGTGAATGAGCAATCGACGTCTGAAGTATGCGATCGTCTTGATTCAAAGACAAACATAGGGAGGACCTTCGAGAGTTTTGCTAGAAAGGAAATATGCGATTTCATTTCCCGGATCTGGCGAAGTACGAGCGATTGCCCGATATGCTGTCAAATCCATTTAATCACCGGAATCAGATTTGTGTCCTATGAGCACCCATTGCGAAGGCAGGCTTCAAATACCACTTTCAAGTATATCTACTGATGCTTGAATCGATTTGATATATTGATCGTTGGGGAGGAAATTGCAAGTTTCTAAGCTGTCTTCCGTTTCTTTAATAGACCAAAGGCTCCTAGGGTAGCTGCGGTCATTGTCGTCCCCAGGAGAATGATGAATGATCGCCACTTTCCAGCGCCGTACCCAGGCTGTACTCCAATACTCTCGCTGTTTTGAAGAACAGCCGCAGCTATGTAGCCTGACGCCACACCTATGACACCTCTGGTAAATAGGAGAATGCCGGAAACGAAGAGTTCCTCGGCCGGCCGCTCGGGATCATCAACCGCAATTGCCGCCATGTGGCTTCGCAGAACCATGAAGCTAAAGGCAAATGCCCCAAATAAGATCGAAGTGATCACCATATTCCAGTAGTATATACCCAATCCCCATACAACGAAGACTGCAAAGCTGCTGACGAGGGTGCTCAGCAGCATGGGTATCAAAGGTCCGATCGCATCTCTGTTGTATCTATTTATTAGCAACGAGTCATACGTAGACTTGAGGTCCATTTTACTTACGTCAAGGCTCCCAGCGAGATTTGACCGATGATCCCAAACAGCGACAGGAATGTGACCAACAAGGCGCCTTTCTCCGGCGAGACACCCAGGTCCGTGGCGTAACTGGGCAGGTAGTTTGCCGGTAAATTGTTTGCCAGACTTTGCAGCGTCATCGAAAGAACAAAGAGCCAAAACACTGGCTTTCTGAAAACTCTAGTAGTAGACGATGATTGTCGAGCTGCAGCCTCCATTTCCGATTTACTTGTACGTCGAGGGCGAACGAAGATAATGCCAAGTGATATGATCACTGCTGTAAACACAGCCCATCCAATCAGGGTTGTACGAGGCCCGAAGCGCTTGAGCAGGACGGAAAATATTGGAGAAAGACCGGCGGCCGCGATGTTGGGGGCTCCGAAACTGCCACCATCAAATTAGCTAGTCCTTCTGTTGGCTATAAGGTTCTATGCATCATACAATATGCCGTTGGCAAGACCACGACGCTTGAGGAACCACTCGTCCACGAAGCTTAAGCAAGGTGCGAAGAGAAGGCCGCTCGAGAATCCATACATGAGCCCTTGTGTCATGATGACCTGCACAGCCTGGGACAAACTGTCAACATTTCGATTGAACACAAAGACTGTTTGAAAACCGCTTACAGTAGTCGAGAAAGCAGCGCCAATTGAAGATGCTACCACTAGCACCATACCACTCCACATCATGTAGCGTCTATAGTGAGGGTAGGCTGTGATGATCTTGAGTAGAAACGGCGGCAGAGTTTGCAACAGGCCCTGGCAAAACTTAGGTCAGTGGTATAAATGAACATTGAGCGTCCTTACCACTACTAACAGGCCTGTAGAAGCGACTAATTGATTCCCTTGTAGAGGAGGAGTCTTGAAGTAGTATTCTCGAAACACACCCTGAGTGGCTCCGAAGCCTATATTCATGATTGTCAAAATGGCCTGCAACAGAGCGACTCTTATGTTGACTCACCCCAGGTTGCCATCGCAATGACGGAGATAGCAATGAGGCTCGTCCAAGCTGCTCTTCCACTGTCTCGAGGGGGTAGATTCTCATTGCCATCATGCTGCTCTTCACTGAGTGAGGCAGAGTCGGGCACCAAGACTGGTCCCGTGCTCACCGACTTCTCATTTGGCAGCGGCGCCTGCCTCTCCAGCTCACTCGAGATCATCGTTGTGCGAAAGGCGATTCGGGTGCGGAAAAGACGAGAGGGATGGTGTAGAAAGCAGCACGAAGACAGCCACTCCCGATTGTTGTAGGTGCTGGTATTCCTGGAAATGGACTAATTAGGTGTGAGAGAAGGTATGTAGGAGGTGGGATTAGAACCCCAAAGCTGGTCGTGCTTACAAGTATACGTAAGCTTGAATGTTGGGCTTCCTGACTTGGCAAACATAGACGAAAGATCAATCCAACATGCCATGAGTCTTGTTATGCTTAGCCTAAGACACTAAGTCTGCCGCTAATCCCGGCGCGAACCGAGACGTTGGCCCAGTGCACGCCTCCCGGGCGATGACTAGACAAGAACGGATGGCAAAGTATTTGTATGTACTGCTCAAACCGGATCTCGGTGCAGTCTGAGGAAGCGCGGATCTCGGTCGTGAGCCGCTGTTCACGAAATTTGAGCGACGGAAACCTTTTTGGATCATAATCCTGGTCGCTTGTGCACGTTTTACGATTAGGTCGACGCCTATTCGTTGGCAAAAGTGCCAAGTAAGATCTCCTTTGAGGCCCCTGCATCCCGTTGTGCCTCATCTTTTGGTCCCGTTGCTCCGACGCGGCATGCCTTATCATGAATGGCTCGACAAGGATTTGCGTCCACTCCAGAGTGCCGGCTGAAGCCGCACGCCGTGACCGTCACGGACAACCAAAGCACTTGCCCGCCTTGGGATATGGAGTAAGACTGGACCGTTGTTTGACGGCTAACAGTACATATTTGACAGAGGCGCAGACAATGTGAAATATGACAGGAGACCTCTTAGTCCCGAC